TTTTAAAGAATATATATTAAAATTTTTATATTATTTAAATAAGTTTTTATAAAGTTATAATAAAAATATTAAAGGTGTTTTTTTTTGTCCTGGACTGTATATAATAATAAAATTTTTGAAATTAATTATTTAATTTATTTAAAGTTTACGTTTTAAAAGAAAATAAAAAAATTTTTTTTTGATATATATTTTTTTCAATTAAATATTTTTGTCATATGTTTTTTATATTTTCTTGTTAAATACAAAAAATCAAATTTTTATTAAAAAAAAAACAAGTCAAAAAGATTAATTTTTTAAATAGAAATAATATTAAATTTAAATATACATATACAATATATTATTATAATATTAAAACTATCTTGAATATTTATTTTTAAATTAACAAAAAGAATTTATTAAATATTATTTATGTTAAAAATGATTATATACTGTAAGTACTTAATACAGTAGTTTTAATTTGCAGAAAAATAAAGTTTGTCGCTAAGTGACGCTACTCCCTTAAATCTGGGGTTTAAAAAAAATTGCGGCTAGCCACAAATAGATCATTTTGAAAGTTAGATGCGTTTATCTAAATTCGTTAATTGAGAATATCGGAAAACGTGTTTTTATCAGAAATATTTCGTAACTTCTGAAAAATCGTTACAGCTATGTCAGATAAAATCTTTTTCCCACGCCATTAATACACTTTAAATTTTGCTGTCGCAATGGTAAGTAAACATCGAATTTTCAAGATCTTTTTTAAATCAGTATGGAAATTCTTTCCATAAATGAAAAAGAGAAACGGTGATTTGATTGAGACCTGATACCAAAAAAAGAATTATAAACGATATTTCTTATACACTTATAAGAAGCTTGTTTAGTTTTAATTGATAATTTATTATTATACGTATGAAACTTATTTTATGTTTAAAAAGTGACTTGTTAAAATTATTTTCTAAAAAATAAATTGTTATGTAATTTGGTGTTATTTTTGATACTATGTTCTAAACAAATTTAACCTTTTTTAAAAAAATAATCTTATTATATTTTAAATGTGATTTTCTAAATAAAGTTTTAGATTTATAATTATAAATTAATTTTTTCAATATAATTGATATGATGTTACATTTTTTTTTTAAAAGAAACGTAGGAAACATTCAAATTCAGATTTCAAGTAGTACAGTAATTATGAAATCAATGTGTAACATACTTTTTTGTTAACAAAAACGTCAGTTTGTTATAGTATAAAAAATAATTCTAGCGATTCGGACAAAGCAGACAGGAGTTCCTAAAATTTATATTCAACATTTTTGTCGCCCTCAAAGGTAATTTCCCATTTCAGGTAAAGCATTTCAATCCTTTGACAACCATATTTTGATACTTTATTAGATATGATATTCGTCGAACATGTACACAGGAGACTTCAACGAAATGCATAAATTATTTTCCGTTTTTAATTTTTTTATATTGATTATCTCATAAATCGTAATGATTAGTGATTAGTAATAATTATTAAATTAAAATCATAATAATTGGAATATGTGATTATCTAAAAATTCCGAAGGGAGGGGTCAATATTTTTTGTGGTAATGTGATGTATAAGCACTATCTCATCCCTTATAAGTAGTAGAGCATTTCAAGTTTTTCCGTTCTCCCACCACAACTACTTTTCTTAATGGCTATTCTTGCAACTTGTTAATGAAATTTTGAAAAATACTTCACACAACCAACAAGTCAATCAAGCCTTAAATAAAGTAAATAATTTTCGCGAACTCACCGAATAGTGTAAAGAAATAATACGCACTGGTAAGTTTTTTAGTTAATTATTACAATGCGAATAGCTTATATGGGAAAATTCCGAGACCGTGTAAGTGGGCTTCGAAGCTGAATCTTAATTTTTCCATAATGTTCGCTTTCATAAATGTCACGTTAACTTGTAAAAAAATTTTGTTTGGATATTTTCATTTTCAATTCGTATAATTTACAGCTACTTCATTGTATTATTTCCAAAACAAAAAGAAACTGATTTAAAATTTTATCATATGGAAAATTTGAACTTGTTTACGCCACAAATATTCTTCTCCTTTATCTTTCGAAATAGAATAATATTAACCAGAATGGGTGACGATAGCTGGGGATCTTTACCAAAGGAAATTAAAATTAATCCTGAAGACACCTGGCCTGTTAGTACTCATGAAGACATCTCTAATCGAAATGCAACACCGAGGAATGGTCAAGGAGACAACGAAAGAATGCCGAATCGTAGATCGTCTTCAGTGGAGTGGGCAAATAATCGGAAGTTGGAAACCGATTCGCATAACAAGGAGCAAACCAGGTATAAAGATGGTGAATGGACAAAGCAATCATCTAATAACGACGATTGGAAACATCAAAATCAACCTTTAGAAAAAAGAGATAATGGTTTTAATATACGGCAAAAGCAATATCCGACGTTCAATGATGATGATCGAGCAGAATTGCATAATAATAATAGTCGGAATTCAAGTAAACCACCTATATCAACCGTTGATTATGATCAAAAGAGAGACATTGGGAATCCTCAAGGACCTTCTAATAGTTACGAGGATGATTCGAGAAATTTTACTCGTGCAGCTAGTTATAGTAAGTTGCCTAATGATGCTGATTCGCGTACAAGACATTCTCCGAATGTTGATGAAGACGAGGTATTAAAATGTTTATCTTGGCAATTCGAAGATGTTATTAGAATATTGAGTTTGAACGCGTCAAAATAATAACAATAATAAATAAATGATATAAAACTTATATGGAGTCTCGTCTTGTAGGAAGTGATACATAATTCTTTATCCGAAAAGCGATTGACAGGTGAAAGATGGAGAAATGAAACGAAAAATTTGACGAACGATCAAGATAGGAAATTAAGAGGTATTACAAATTTTTGGTAACATTATAACAAGTAATAATATATTTACTCATTTACATTTAATTGTTAATTTTAGAGAATCAAACGGAGGGTTCTAGATTTGAGCCTAAGGAGATGAAATTTAAAGATGAAGGAATTCAGACCGATCCAATTGATCTGGGACCCATTGTACAGTTGATTTATTCTAAAGACCATGAACTTGGGTCTGTTGTACGTAAAAAACTACTCTCGCTTGGTTTTAATGCAAGTGTTGGGAGAAATGCTTCAGTATCATCCTCGGCGTCAGCACAGGGTCGTTCTTTATTGGAAATGGAACCTGATGAATTGTATAACTACGAGAATAACAAGGGTAATATACGTGGCGATTTCAACGATTCGCGGAAATCACAGTCTGTTTCTCGATCGGCGCATTCCCCAAGTGCGAATAATGATTCTTATGGATCGGGTAATAAATGGAAGGCAGAGAATGACCAAGAGGCATCCAATAAATTGAACAATACTCGTAATTCTTACACAAATGACTTTGAGTCGCGACGACCTTTAAGTGGTAAATTTACATTTCGTTAGATGCAAAGTCAAGGTAATAGCTGAAAACCATCCAATTTTTTTTTTTTAAATAGTTACTTCAAGAGTCAATGAACAAAAGGGAAGCTATGATCGTGATCTTTCCGCGCACAGCGTATCGAAAGAATTTAAGTCATCGGATTCTTCAAAAGTTCGGGAACCATCGAGAGTGATTGCAAAGACCTCTGCAAAAAGTCCTGAACCGTGGGAAGTCCCCTCTGATAATGTACGAAGAAATACTGGAGATCGTAGTGTTTCTCCAAGAAAGATTCGTGATTCTTCCCCCCTACCGAGTTCTGAACCCTGGCAAAATCAAAACCAAAAGAAATTTGAATTCAGAAATCAACCTAATGACTCCTTGGGCGTAAAACCTTCCGATTCTCGTGGTCCTTCTCCGAGTCATTCCTCGCGAGAGATCAAATCACGTGGCGAATTCTTCGGTGACGCAAATAGGCAAGAGAACGATTCACATTGGAAAGATGAAACTCGTGGTTACTCTCATAAAGTGGATCCACGTACTTCACCTCGTGATTCACAAAAACCACGTGATATCTCTAATTCTTCAAGGATCACACAAAGGATTGAAGCTCAAAAGAAAAATGATTCTCAAGAAGTTTTAACTAATAAGCCTACCGAGAAGCTTAATGATTCAGGTGGTTCTATGCCTCTCCCTAACACAGATTCGTGGAATTCTGGTCAAGCAGATTCAAATGATTGGCGTAAGAAAGCAGCCTTGTATAATCGAGAGCTAAATGAACCTGAAAGATCCTCGAAAAAGGAGACCGAACCTTGGGAAAAAAATCAAAGGCGTGAGCCATGGGAGACGACTACTCATAACGATAATCCGGCTAGTTTTGATGTGCATAAGAATGATAGGAAATTAGAACCTTCTGTAAATAAAGATTCCACAGACAATTTGGATGTTGTTAATAATCGCTTCGGGCGAAAAGATGATCACTACAGTAAGAACAACTCATATTACGGTGAAAAATCTTGCGCTAATTGTAATAGACCCGGACATCTTTCGCGAGATTGTCCCGATTCATCAACTTATACAGAGGATTCAATTCGTCGTAGAAATTGGTAATGTTGTAATTATATTTGATATAAATATTATATTCTTAATTTTAGTTTTAATTTATCATGCGTTGCAATTATTAGCTTCAAATGCAACAAACCTGGTCATATGGCATCTCAATGTACCGAGTCCAATATTGATAATAACGGCGACCGGTTTACAAGGAATAGACCATGTTATGAGTGTGGATCTTCTGACCATATTGCAGCCAATTGTCCTTTAAGAACCCGAAAACCCAGTCCATGTAGGTTTTAATATTTTTTTGTTCTTAAGATAGGTTAATGGAGTAATTTCATCGCAATCCATTTGTAGTTGTCAACCCAGAACCCTCTGGCATATCACCTGGAGAGGCATGGAAAAGACTATTGAAGGCAGATCTTGAAAAAGATATTGAAGATTTCAGAAAATGGCTTGAGGAATACGCGAAAGTTTCACCTCAAGAGACCTTTCAGTCGATCGAAATGAAACTAAGAGATGAAAATTGCAACGGAAGAATAATTGCCGTAAAACGTGAAGGAATTCCCATCACTAGTTGTTTGGTCGACCTTCAAGGAAATACCGGAAAAACCTATCTAGCACAGCCCTCGTTTTCAATCCCAACTGGACTTGCTCCAGCTTCAGGCACTTTTGCTAAATCAGGGGATGAAAATTTCCGGTGGCTGGCCGATGCCGGTTTTTTGGGTGACGATCCTTCTCCTGTTTGTTACAACTGTAAAGAAAAAGGGCATAATACTAAACAATGCGAAGCACCAAGGAAAGAAATTGATCGTTCTGGTCGTCCACAATGCCAAGTTTGTAGTTCATTTGATCATACGACTAGGCAATGTGATAAACGTGATCGAAACGATAAACCTTACGGTGGCTACAACGGTCGCGATAATTATGGTGATAAAGATATTCGTTCTCAAACTGGTTATAACCGTCATGAATACGAACGGCCCGATAGGTACGGCGATAACAATACACACAGATCATATGACAATGATAGTAGAGATGGTAACAGGAGGAAAGATAACGCAAATGATTATTCCACTTCATACAATAAATATAATAACAATGATAGCTTTAATAAGAGCAGATATAATGCCAGCGGTCGAGGATCCTATAATAATGACGATAAAAACTTTAATCGTAATAGAGGTGGTTACAATGATGGTTACAGTAACAGAGATAACAGAGATAGGGGTGATCATAACTCGAGAGAAGATAGAAACTTTACAAATCGAGGATATAATGAACCCTATTCTAGGGGCAATAGGGAACAGGATAGCTATTCATCGAGAAACGGACAAGACAGAAGTAGAGATCCTGCCCGGAATAGAAACGATTCTGTTAGGGATTTCAATAAAGACAGCAGAGGTCGCGGAGTTATCGATGATACCGCGCAAAAATGGGATAAGCGACAAAGATCAACAAGTGTAAATCGGAGCAACAATAGTATTGAAAATCCAAAATTAGATGATAACTGGGATCAACTGAAAGGTCAAGTAATGACAAACTGGAGTAAAGTTACAAGTCAAAGTTATGAAGAAAATTCCTGGCCCGCACAGGAAGGGGAAAAGAAAGGTCCGTACAATAATAATACTAGGTACACTGAAAATCAACGTCCTCGAGGTAACAATGAAGAACCACGCGGACGGAGTATGCAGACCAAAGCCTTGTCATCTGCTAATCCCGAAGATAATTCATATCTTGATAACGTCAAACAATGGTGGTAATTTGCAATAAATCAGAGATATTAATGTTAGTAA